CGTCCGATTCAGACTTATTGTTGAACTACCGGAATAATAGGACTGCGTTAAGTACTGTATCTACTGTACCACAAAAATTAACATTTCTTCGATATAAATCTATGTAGTTGGTTTTATTGTTATTTATGTTTTTAATATCAATTATGTTCTGTTTTAAGGTTAACACGATTGCCATTGTCATAGAATTAGTGACCTAACAGTTAAATTAGTGCATACAATATCAAAATATGTTGCTAGAAGCAGCAAGCTAGAAAATTTACCAACCAGTCAACTATGAATGATTTCAAGCTGGACATGCTGATTGAATCCACTAGATGCCCCAAAAATTAGGACCATAAACCCTAATGGATGTTCCTAAAAAGTTGCCAGTATGATGCATACAAGTGTATTAACAGAGGATGGGGTTACGTGATACATAACAATAGATACCAATTCCTTCAGTTGATCATCGTTGGCTTCGTAACATCAGACAGTGGATGGGACTCAAGACAATGGAAGATCTACTCTATGCAATATTAAATAAAAAAGTGACTAATGTGCTCATGCAACAAATGCATTAGTGCATTTGCAGCCGAAGTCTTAAGAGACTGACAGCTAACATTAAATAGTGATTTGACAGTGGTTATCAGTGCAAAAAATGTGATATGTAATTGTTTTCTAGTGATAAATTAATGATTAACTAGAAAGTGTGTGTTGTAACGAAGGAAGCCTTATTTTTTATGATGATAAGTTAAAGAAGCGGGTTTTTGTTCTACAAAGATATAAGGTATGCTTGATATACACAATTGGTTAGGAAAAAAATAAAATTAAATAATAAAACTACATAGTCTTATTGAAAATGTTTTCTTTGCAAGTTTAAACTCATTCTAAATCCAAGAGAAGATACCGATATCTAATTCGACTAATTTTACTTGATTTTAAACACATAAAGTGAATACGTTACTGTTACCATATAAACTTACTACAACAAGTATTATGAACCAAAATTGATGAGTGTATATTTTAGTATTTCAATTTGTTCAATTTTTCCTGTTTGTCTTAGTCTCTTGAAAAAATCATTTTTAATGAAAACTGAATCTTCACAATTGAACATCTCACAAAGAAAAAGAATTACATACCATACATAGCTATCGCACCCTAGTGAAAATAGAATTTTAAACCTCCTAAAGTATTTATAAAAAAACAGTGATCTACACAAGAAATTACCATTTTTTATAAAGATTTATTAGAACAGAAGATTAAATATTAGCAATTTTGGCGACTTATTCTTAATTGTAAACTTCAGAATAGCATCTTTATTAATTAACTAATTGCAGTTGTAAACAGTATATAAATTCTTTAAACAAAAAACAACTTACGAGTTCATACACTAACTATCATTATGATCTTTAGTTCATACAAAATCCCATAGAAAAAGTACTTTGCGATTTATCCCAAATTTTCCAGTCATTCTTCCTTTCCCTATAAACCTTATTGAACCATTATCGAAGTATCTAATATACAGTAATATCCGATTGTCTTTACAGAAGCACTTTTTTATTTAACATTTAAAAAAAATGCATTTTTCATGAAAGATTTTGCTTGTCTAAATGGTTAATCACGTTTATTCTTTGTCAAATTTCCACACTGTTTTTAGAGAAATTGGGGGGACATACTTGTAAGCAAATTTTCAAATTGTTTTCTTTGTTTATATAGATAAATATGTCTTTTTGTTTCAGATTTTACAATAAAAATACCTTTTTCAAAAATTTAAAAAAAAATATTGTTTCCATGATTACACTTATTAAAATACGTAGAGAAAATCTTCAGGAAAACTAAAACT